ACCCCGGCAGTTTTGCCCGGGGTTCGAGTTTGCAGCAGGGGCAGTGCCGGGAGCCGTCAGTCACTTCCTCGCATTGTGTCTCCTCTTCCTCCAGCGCTGCTGCGGGAGGAGGTAGCCCAGCTGCAGGAGGAGGTTCACCTGCTCCGGCAAATGAAGGAAATGCTGACGAAAGACCTGGAGGAGACGCACGGCAGCAAGTCGCCGGAGGTGCTGTCGGCCACCGAGCTGAAGGTGCAGCTGGCGCAGAAGGAGCAGGAGCTGGCGCGCGCCAAGGAGGCTCTGCAGGGTAAGGGCTGCGCGTCCCTCTTCTCGTACACCTCTCCCCGGGACCCTAAAGTTTCAAGAAGTTAGTTAACGAGGAAAGGAAGAGCCATCCTTTTTATTTGGACTATGCAGTGTGCGTTCACCGTGTGCATGTCGGGGGAGGGGGGGTTTGATCGGAGGGCCGTGCTTCCCGGGACCCCCCCACCACCCTGCCCCAGCAGCGCGGAGCCAGGATGGACCAGGGTGCAGCGACAGGCTGGGGAAGGGGATGTGGGAGGCGTTTGCAGCATCGCAAAGTAATTCCTCCACGGCTAGCTGTAGAGTAGAGCCAAGAGAGCAGCTGAAATGCAGCTGAAAACGTTTGCGAGGTGAGTGCGGGTTGGATTTCAGCCCCTCGGACTCTTTTAGGAGGGAAGCAGCGAGTTTCCTGGTGAGTGCAGTTTTCCTTATCCCGTGTGGAGTTATCGGGAGCGCTGCAGAAAGCAGAGGCTGGGCCTCCAGGTGACATGCAGGTTCTCCTCTTTTCTTCGTGCACTGATTTGGGTGTTTTCCCGCGGTGGTCGGGACCGGGCTCTCCCTCCCTTGCTGGCAGCTGAACAGCGAGCTCGCTGCGAGCCCCGAGACCGGGGTGTGCAGGGTGAAACGCAATATTGCAGCTTTTCCTCCCTGAAACCAAGCTGGCAGTAAGTCCAGGCAGGACGGTTTGTTAGCCGGAGCCAGGGGATGATCCTGAGCAGGGGAAAGCTCTCATGCGTCAAACCCTGGCAGCGCCGCGGCACTAAATATCATCTCAAATCCCCAACATACCGCCTGTAACTTCCACTTGTCAGCTCGTGTTTGCGGATTATGAAGAGAGGCTGTCAAAAGTTCTCAGGCTCAGAGGCTGAGCAGTGGGCTGGGGGAGAGCCCCAGCTTACCGCATCTCCCCCCGTCCGGGATGCTGACGTGTGCGGGGGGACAGGGAATTGGGCTGAGTCCGTATTTGGGTGGAGGATTTTGGAAAAAGAAGAGGAAAAACTACCCCAGTCTACGTGCTTTTTAATTTATCACTCTCTGATTTGAAAAAGCATCCCTATAAATTAGTAACAGCCAAAATATCTTCAAAATCTTGCCCCCCGCCACCGGTGCAGCCTCTGGCAGCAGGAAATGCTCTGGGTTCATAAAACCATAATCAGAGAAGAAAAACCTTAATGAGAGAGTATTTGCTCTGCGCAGACAGGGAGGGGGAAGTGCTGATAAATGCAAAATATAGAAAAGCAGAACTACTTTAAGACTATTTGCAAAAAAAATAAGAGTAATAATAAGTCATCTAAGAAGCTGCAGTGAGGTCGTATGCACTTCTGTGAAGGATAGTACAGAGAAAAAGTGAGTTTGGCTTGAGAATCGTGAGTATTTAAGGAATATAATTTTGGTTTTTTATTGGGCTTTTATTGGCCGCCATAGGAGCCGCTGGGATTGCTTTTCTAGGGCTTCTCTGCAGGTGTGATGGCTAGGAAGAGGGAATCTCAGCTTGCACTTGGAAAGGCACGTACCAAGAAGGCTTTTAAAATCAATGCTCCTTCCCTCCCACGCAATATTGGAAAGCTTTTGCGTAATTTGGAAAAGCTCGCCGTGCTGGATCCAGCCTCGTGAGCTGGGCTGGAGGCGCTGGGCAGCAGAGCAGGCTTAGCGCGGCGGCGGATACGGAGACGGGTAATGTGGAAATGGGATCAGCAGCTGGAGGGGTGGGAAAAAAAAAAAAATCCTTTTTCCTTTCCGTGAAAAATTGTCCGTAGAGAAACGTAGCCAAAAGGGGAGGGAAAATGGCAATAACTCTGCCCGGTGAATGGTTTTGCCAGGAGAAATGTATCAGCTGATAAGAGGCATTTGGGGAAATAATGGCTCTATATTAGGGAGCTGCAGAATAAGGCAGTGCAAGGAGCTCGGGGAAACCTGGCCGTGCTGTCCTGTAGGTCAGGGGTTTGTGTCGGTCGTGTCCCACAGCCAGAGAGCATCTCCCAAGACCACCTCCCACCTCGCAGCATGCATCGCTGCAAAGCCCTGCGGTCCTCGCTAAAGGATGCCCCGCGCCCGGCAGCATCAGTGTCCCTGCCCCTGCAGCAGCGCGCGACCCACGTTGGGTCATGTGTAATGTCATTAGCGGATAAATTATATGGAAATCTGTCGTTGCTGCTGGCTCTGAGCTCGGAAGCGCGACACAGCCGGTTCAGATACATACTGGCTCACCGGGCCTCAGTGCAGAGGGAAGCGGAGAGGGTTTGCCGGCGGGGTTTACTTTCGGGGGCTCCAGCAGTTTTAACAGCCTTCGTTTTGCGTGGCCGCACAGGGTCTGGTTTGTGATGATCTGGGTGGAGGAAGGTGGGTTCGTCGTCCCTCCTCGGCAATGCATTTCCAGCCCTTTCCGACAGCATTTAGCACGGGGGTAAAGCCGGCGATAAGCCCGTGCAGCGTATTCCCTGTGCCGTGTTAACAGGCCCTTGCTGCGGAGGGGAGGGAGCCGGGATCGGGAGCAGCACAGGATGCTCCGCAGGAGTAACCTGAGCAGTTTCTGTATCCCTGGCAGCATGTGCTTTATGCATCTTTATCGCTCCTTTTTCTGGGCTAATTCCATCTCTTGCACTTTTTTTTTAAATCAATTAATGTCCAAACGAAATCCCGTAGCGCTACATCTTATTGTCCTCTCCTCCTTTGCTGGGGCTGGGACTCGGTATCGTGCTTACAGTGTTAGCGCAATTATATTTTCCCTGGCCCCAGCTGGAAAGGGATGGATGTGGTCTGGATTTCTGATGTGGAAATCTCCGACGGGAGAAGTTGCAGACAGCTTTATTACTGCTGGGTCCTACTGCGGGAAGGGACCGTGCCCGAGCGCCTGGAGGACTTGAGGAGCCGGGTGACATCTATGAGCGTGTGGGCTAATGGCAGAAACCCCGTTCCTGGGAAGGTTTATCCAACATGCTGGAGCTCGCCTGTGGGATTATCACACGGAGAGCAAACCTGGTTCCTGTTTCCTTTTCGAGTGCCAAGGTGGAGACCTCGGCCTGGCTTTCCCCGCTGCTCGGGAAGGCGTGAACCGAACCAACTTCACGTCTGCTCCGCAAATGGGTTGTAGCCCGGTCTCCTCCCTCCCAAACCTGCAGCTCAGAGCTGTGACCTCCTGGGGATGGCACTTAGGCTAGGACAAGCCTCCTGCAGAAACCCTCAGCATCCCCAGCTGGCTGCAGCAAGGGGGTGGGTAGCAAAGAAACGGGCGGATGGGTGTCCCGGCAGATGGGTGTCCCGGCAGATGGGTGTCCCAACCACGGACCTGGCCAAGGAAGCCCTCTTCACCAAAGGGACATGGGGCTCTGTACAGAAAACCCGCTGTGCTCCTTTGAAGACCCACCTTAAATTCGTAGCAGAAGTCATTGACCACCTTGTCATGACCACGGGGGAGGCTGGTTTGGAAAGCCCTTGGCCTCGTAGCAGGGTGTTTCCAGGTAAATTCCCCCAAGGCAAATGCCTCCTCTAATTATTTCCTGAAATTCAACATTACACTCGAATTTCCTGCCTGCGCCGTACCTCCGCACGCCCAGGAGCGAGTGCTGGCTCTGCCCGACGCTGCGTGACGTTGACGTCTTCAACGGCAAGATCTTCTCTGCAGATGGTGACGGCTGCGCCTGGGGAGCGCGCCCGCCTATTTAGTTACAAAGCAAGGAGTGGCGCTGCAGTTCCTGCGCAGGGCTGACCGATTTTATGGGTTAGTCATGGTGACAATATTGAATTTCATGGTTGGGATGGAGAAACAGGAGAAATTAAGTGAATGTTAATGGGACAGGATGGGTTTATGTGTTCCTCTCGCATGGGGCATCAACGAGGCTTGAGCGATGCCCCCCGAGGACGCCTTTTCCAGCGTTAGAAAATAAGTGTACGATTCAGTAAGTGATAAAGTCAGCTCCAATTCCATTCCTGGAATGAAAATCCACATTGCATGGGGCGAGAGAAGTACTCGCAAGAGTACTTCTTAGTACTCTTAGTACTAAGAGGACCAAGATGGCCGAGATGGAAAACGCCGATGGGAGAAGTTGCAGACAGCTTTATTACTGCTAGGACCGACGGCGCCAACGGCGGGAAGGGACCGTGCCCGAGCGCCTGGAGGACTTGAGGAGCCGGGTGACATCTATGAGCGTGTGGGCTAACGGCAGAAACCCCGTTCCTGGGAAGGTTTATCCAACATGCTGGAGCTCGCCTGCGGGATT